CTACCCTCAAGCCAGTGCTAGTGCAGAATCTCCAGGGGCCAGAGGTCAAACAGCCCTGCGAAATGCCAAGGAAGAAAAGGGAAAAAGACTTGGGTACCTACAGTATTGTATGGACTACTGAGAATCATCATTTCTGGATGAGAAGTGGGCATCCTTTCTTGACCAAACCAGCCTCCTCACCTGCCTCTGTATTGTCTATCAAAGTTCAGAACCTTGGCATCATGTCTCGCACACCACTGCCCTGCATTTCTTAGGTTGGAATTAGTCTCTTTTGGAGATCAGTCAACTGAGTCCTCATGCACTGGTCAAATTTTCTAGGTAACTTTTACAGGGTAACTGAATGTTCAATGTTCTCAAAAGTCACCTACAGAACTTTGTGAAAACTCCCGTTTAGTTCCCAATGAATAACATAATGCTGACATTATGTTATTTAACAATAACATAATTATGTTATTTAGCAATAACATAATAAGTTATGTTAGCTTTAGCAAAGTGAGTTTTAAACTGCCAGTATCCTCCATCCCCCACTTGAGAAGGAACATGTAAGCTCTGGTCATTTCTTCTCCCTTATGCATGCGCAGCATATTGTAATCTTGGGTGCAGTTGCGTTATTGCTAATTTCAGCCTCAGCCATGCTGCTTAGAATTATTAACAGTCACCACAGGACTACTATCCTGTCCCTTACAATGAGGCTAATTTCATCATTACTATATTTATAATTATGTGGACCCTTCGGCATATTAGCCACTGTGGGGATGACTCCAACGGGTGCTCTTTTTCTGTTGGTTGTTTTGGGACGAGTGGTTTTTATAGGCTCCACTTCCTTTTTTTATCCAGGATGCTCTTTTTGCCATGGACTCCATGACTTAATGACGTTTGTTGTACTGGAGCTTGTTGCTGGGTAGGAGGAAAATCACCCTTTGTGATTGTCCTAAGACACTGCCCAGAAAGGTCATATGGGTGACTCTTACACTTAATCTCCTCCACCTAGTAGTGCCATTGTATTTGACACTCTACCCTAGAGGAGTTGTATTTTCCAGTTATTGACATTTCTGCTTGAAGTGAAACGGGGTGTTGAAGGTAGGGTTCAATCCCAGACACAAGCAAAGCTAAGGTCTTGTACATTCATCAAGTTTATTTTGAGCATTGACAATGTGGATTACTACCAGAATGAAAAGTACATTTCCCCAACCTCAAGAATTTCAGTCAAATGCAAGAGACAGGCATGGAAAATTAAAAGTAGTGTGTTACTGTGCTGTGCGTGAGTGAATGAGATAGCTCACTGTAGGAGTTCCAGTCCATCCTGAGGCAGAGAGGAGATGCCTCCTTATGTGACAGTGGCTTTCAAGTAAGGAAAAGTACAAAGAAAGGGAAGATGTGGTAAGCAGTAGAAGACATGCAGATCCTGGGATGAGCTGATGAAATACATGTATTTCCTTCCCATTCATTACATTCTTTACCCCAAATAGTCCTTCATTTTTTATCCTTTTTGTAAATTCAAACTCATTCACATGCCTTTTTTGCAATTAATTGAAGATTGAACTTAATTGATGATGAATTAAGTTGGGGACTTGGAGTAGCATTCAGGACTGAGCTCCTGTGGATATTAATTTATTCCTGTAGTTTCATAGTTTTGCAGTTCATCCAAATGTCTCACATCTGTGTTAAAAATAAAACTCAGAGTCAGGGCAGTCTAATTAGGTGGCTTAACCCAACACTGTGGCTCTCAGTCTTCACCAAGCTCTGCTGCTTTGATGGTTACCAAATTAGATGGATAAGTTAATCAAAGGTCTGATTAAATAGCACAGCTATGTGGCATGAAGTTGTGATTTCCAGGCTTCAGTCCAGGCAGAATCTCTAGGGAAGAAAGAAATGGAGCTGAGTTCCAAAGGCCAGGGCTTATGTGAGGAAGAGTTTTATAAAGCACTTTGGAGGGAATTGGTTGCTGAGGTCTTAAATCTTAAGGTGATGGCTACCTGGGAAGCTAACTCGCAGAGAAGGGTGTGGTAGAGAAGGGTGTGGTAGATTATGATGACCCAGTCTCACATCCAAACTCAGAAAAAGAACTAGAACCTTTCTTTGTCAGATTCTTGGCTTGGCTCTGTGGTGGTGTGCATGTATGTGCATGCATTTGGAAGCCAGAAGTTGATGTGAGGTGTATCCCTCAGTTGTTCTCCACCTTACTTTTTTTAAAAAATTTATTTATTTATTAAAAATTTCCCCCTCCTTCCCACCTCCCTTTTCCCTCCCGCTCCCCCCACCCCTCCCTCTTCAGTCCTAAGAGGAGTCAGGGTTCCCTGCCCCGTGGGAAGTCCAAGCCCCCCCCCCATCCAGGTCTAGGAAGGCGAGCATCAAACAAACCAGGATCCCACAAAGCCAGTCCATGCAGTAGAAAGAAAACCCAGTGCCATTGTCCTTGGCTTCTCAATCAGCCTTCATTGCCAGCTAGGTTCAGAGAGTCTGATTTGATCACATACTCCATCAGTCCCTGTACAGCTGGCCTTGGTGAGCTCCCATTAGATTAGATCAGTCCCAGCGGCTCAGTGAGTGGATGCACCCCTCGCAGTCCTGACTTCCTTGCTCATGTTCTCCCTCCTTCTGCCCCTCATTTGAACTCCAGTGGCACAGACAATAAGAGCAACAATGAATAAATGGGACCTCCTGAAACTGAGAAGCTTCTGTAAAGCAAAGGACACTGTCATTAAGACAAAAAGGCAACCTACTGACTGGGAGAAGATCTTCACCAACCCCTCATCAGACAAAGGTCTGATCTCCCAAATATACAAAGAACTCAAAAAAACTAGACACTAAAACTCTAATTAACCCAATTAAAAAATGGGGTGCTCATCTGAACAGAGAATTCACAACAGATGAACTTCGAATGGCCAAAAGACACTTAAGGTCATGCTCAACCTCCTTAGCGATCAGGGAATTGCAAATCCAAACAACTTTGAGATACCATCTTATACCTGTCAGAATAGCTCAAATCAAAAACACCAATGATAGCCTATGTGGGAGAGGATGTGGAGTAAGGGGAACACTCATTCATTGTTGGTGGGAATGCAAACTTGTGCAGCCACTTTGGAAATCAGTGTGGCGGTTTCTCAGGAAACTGGGAGTCAACCTACCTCAGGACCCAGCAGTTCCACTCTTGGGAATATACCCAAGAGATGCCCAATCATACTACAAAAGCATTTGTTCAACTTTGTCCACTTTACTTTTTGAGAAATGCTCTATCTGATCTGGGAGCTCACCAATTCAATTAGACTAGCTGGTCAGTGAGGTCTAATGATCCATTTATGTCTATACTTCCTTCTTTTCAACACTGGAATTGCAGATGTATGCCTTCTCTGTGGGTTATTAGGATCCAGATTCAGGTCCTCCTAACTGCCCAGCAAGTACTTTACTCAGTGAGCTATCTTCCCAGCCCCTCCTTCAGCAGGTTCATCATGCCTGCTATAGAGTGGGTTGGGGGTTGGATGGTTACTCTTCTCTTTTATTGCCCTCCATTTATCTAACCTAACTTTGCATTTTGCCCCTAAGATCTTTAAGTTATTATGTTTTACTCTGACCAGATTTCAGTTTCTTTTCCCACTCAACACTATGGCTATGCCTTGGTACTCCCCTTACTTTCCGTACACTTCGCCCTTTTTACTTACCTGGTTTCTGTAGTTGCTCCAGGTTGTATAGTCACCCTTGAAGTCTTGCAACTAGGAACCTCAGATGTCAGAAACCTTGTAATATTTGTTTTTTTTTCCTAGTTCCATACATTTTCCTTCAAATTTTGTAATTGTATTTTCTTTATATGTACCACATTTCCGTTAATCATTTGTCAGCTGAAGGGCATTTAGGTTGTTTCAGTTCCTTAGCTATTGTGATTAGAGCAGCAGTAAGATTGGGCTCTCACTTTGTAGCTCAGACTAGCTTTGATCTGTCACCAATCCTCAGGCCTTTGCCTTCTAGGTTCTATGATAGGCGAGAGTTACCCACACCCAACTCCTACTCAACCCAACTCCTACTCACTTCCTTAAAGGCCAGTGTCTTGTAAATGCAGTTATTAGGATAAAAGAGGTGGGTGTTGTTTGGAATTCTGAGGTGGATCATTAGAAGGTGTATGTTAATCTGTTAAATTAAAATGTGGGCCTTGAGTTCCATGGAATTCCTCCACATTCATGCCCCATGCCATTCTTTCCACAATGGTCTTCACATAAATAAGGAATATTTCCCCCCACTGAATGACCTCAGCGTTTTGATAGCAAGTTTTATGAAAGTGTGTACGTATAGCTGACACCACTTACTTTTGGGACAGTGGTTGTTCCTGTCCTGTTAGCCCTACATTCTTGAGGTTTTTCATCTAACTCTACCCTTCCTTACTATCAGATGACCAGCATTATACAGAATCTGACTGGGTCCTTATTTCTATGAGATGAAGAGGAGGTTCAGGTACCAACTGAACCCATTATAACTTTAAATTAGACATAAGTATAGGCATTGAAAATGCCACAAGGTATAGTGATCTTTAATGGCACATAAGTTTAATGAATTAAGGAGAGAATTCTACCTATGAACAATGCGGTGCTAGTTTTTTGGGGGGTTGGTTTTCTGTTATTGTTTTGTTTCTGCATATTTATTTCCTTCAATGGATCCATGTAATTTCTATAATAATAAAAAGTGTATTTTCAAAATCTCAGCATAGAATTTATATTTAAAAATTACTTCACAACTATTATTTTATCCCTGTCTTGAACCAAATGCATTACCAGATAAACGATGTGGCAAAATGAAATGGACAAATCTTTAAAGAAAATTCATTTATTTATTTAACAAGTTTGTAAATTTGGATTTTATTTCTGTCTCTGCATGGTTTATAATGTTTAAATAAAGAATCCATGTGGTGATGTTTTTTCCTTTTTCTTATTTTACCTATTCTTTCTCTCCCTCTCTTTTCCTCTCTCTCTCCCTCTCCCTCTCTTTCTTTCCTTCTATTCTATCCTGTCCAGTCTGAAGTGTCCTGGATCCCCAACAAACATTACTCTGGGATTTATGGCCTGATGAAGCTGGTTCTGACCAAGACTCTACCTGCCAACCTTGAGAGAGTCATTGTCCTAGACACTGACATTACCTTTGCAACTGACATTGCAGAGCTATGGGCCGTGTTCCATAAGTTTAAAGGTAGGAGTTAAATAAGACATGCTGATGTTTTTAAAGGTATTCTAATTATTATCTCGTGTGTGTGTGTGTGTGTGTGTGTGTGTGTGTGTGTGTGTAACACGTCCACTGTTGCACATGCCATAGAGTTCATGTGGAGGTCAGTACAAATTTTGAGAGTCAGGTCTCTCCTTCCTCTTTTAATGGCAGGGTTTGATTCAGGTGGCCAGGCTTGCAAATCTAGCAATTTAACTCATGGAGCCATCTTCAGAGGCAGTGTTTTTTTTGTTGTTGTTGTTGTTTGTTTGTTTGTTTTTAATGTGGTTCTGGGGATTGAATTTAGGGCCTTATATGGACCAGGCAAGCATGCTACCACTGAGCCAATGCCTGGATATGAACTTAATGATAGCATCAATAAGAAATCACACACATAAAAATCAACTCTACTCTAATTTCAGACTAGTTAAAGTAAAACTGAATTTTATATTTATTCAGCAATTGAAGAGATTGGATGCATTTTTATTGAAAATTTCAGTTTAGGAGATTTCGTAGTCAGCAAATAATTAGCTGTGTATATTTTTATGCACATGACCAAATGTTGATATACCTTTTTGTATGTGTGTTTTTAAACTTTTTCCTTTTATTGAAAAAATATTGCTAATATTTTATTTTTTCCTCATATAATATATTCAGAGTACACTTTCGCCTCTGTCTGTGTTTACTCCTACCAATTCCTTCCCATGTTTCATTCAGATTCACCCCCCTTTTCCGTCTCTATTAGAAAGCAAATAGACTTCAAAGGGATAACAATATAATAAAATCTAATACAGTAAGATCAAATTGGCCTACCTTTAAATGTAGTTTGCTTTCCCATTGAGACTCCTTTAGATAAAACAAAATTAAGATTTGCAAGTGGTTATCAACTGGGGCTAGAGACTGGGCTAGGCCTGGGATGGGGCAGGTGTTCACGTCACCGTTCAGCTTGAAGACTCCATTGCAGATACTGCGGTCTGTGTGCATGCTGCTTCAGTCTCTGAGTGCATATACAAGTTTATCCAGTTGATTTAGAGAACCTTTTATTTTTCCTCGCTGTCCTCTTTCCCTCCTCTTTGGCTCTTACATTCTTTCCCCCTCCTCTTTCACAGGATTCTCTGATTCCCTGAGGGAATGGATTTGATAGTGATATTCCATTTAGGGCTGAGTGTTCCAAGGAGGAAGGTTCTTTGATGATAGCTGAGCTCACTGATCTATGAGTATAGCAAAATGTCACCAGGACTCATTTTGTTATTTTGTTCTTTTAGTATAACAGCAATATTTGATTTTACCATCAGTCTCTGTGCTTATCTAATGTTAGGTTCTTGTTCACCAAAACAGCATCCGATATGGATTCCATCTTGTGGGGTGAACCCCAAGTCAAATAAGATACAGGTTAGATTTATTCCCACAAGATTAGTTCTTTCAAGTCACTAATATTTGAAGACAGGACACTAGGATTAAAGGGTTTGAAAGTGGATAAGTGTTTACATTTCTCATTGTGTAGTGTGCCTTCCTACACCAAAGACACTAGCCCATTGGAGTGAAGGTTCTATGTGGCACTTGCTCTGCATCTCCATGTCCATGTTCAGTGAGCTCAGTAGGTTCTAGCTGTCAGTTTGAGGAGAATACCTATAGTCTTGACCACAGTCTGGGTTGTCTGGGGGTTCCGATGGGGCCCCTTTTGCCAACAGCACAGTTAGATTTAACCCATTTCTGGTGCTGGACACTTCATTTGGTGAGAAAATACCAGTTGTAGCTCTATCTTCCCCATTCTTTGGCTTCAGGTATTTCAGGAAGCTTCTTTTGTTTTGGATTTCCATTCTAACCTTGAAATGACCTTTGATTTTTTTTTTTAACTGTATCTTTCTATATTCTCTCCCTCATCCCCTTTTCCCTTCCCACTTGATCCTCCCATTCTGATTCTGAATTGTTAATATATATATATATATATATATGTAGAGATGGACATTTAATATTCTTCTTCCTCTTTGTTTCTTTATTTTCTTCCTTCCTTTTCTTCATTTCTCTCTCTCTTTCTCTCTCTCTCTTTCTCTTTTTTAATAAATGATGCCTTTTTGCTGAGAAAGCCTAGGAGGTCATAGTAAAGGCTATTAATTTTGTCGTGTTTGAAATGTTCTATGGCTTTTGCTGTATCTAGTACTGTGGACTGTTATTTTAAGAGTGTATGTAAGGCGGGATTTGTAGCATTGCTATTCTGGCCTAGTTATTTTCTTATTGCTGTCATAAATGTGAGAGGTACATACACATAGATACACCTGTACTTGCACACGCAGAGTTCACAGTAGGACATCAGGTGTTTTCTATCATTTTCCACTTTATTACCATGAGGAAGGATCCTTTTTGAATATGAAACGTGCTTTTCTGATCGGATATCTGACCAGTGAGTTCTCAATATCTGTCTCTACCCCTGAATATCGGAGTTGCAGGTGTATTCATATATGCCTAGTTTTTTTTTTGTATTTCAAATATCTTTATTGCAATCATGGGAAAAGTATATTTCATATGACAATTTTTTACTAAATACATATTTATATAATTTGTGAGGTAATTATTCCTTTCTTTTTTTTCAAAGTTTATTAAATTATACAAGTTTCCATTTCCGCCCCTCTTCCCAACACCCTCCCACTCCCCCCACTCCCCCTCCTCCTCCCTCTCCATCCCTAAGAGTAGTCAGGGTTTCCTGCCCTGTGGGAAGTTCAAGTTCCTCCCCCCTCCCTCCAGGTCCAGGAAGGTGAGTATCCAAACAGACTGGATCCTAAAAATCCATTATATGCAGAGGAAACAAGTCCCAGTGTCATTGTCAATGGCTTTTCAGAAAGACTCCAGGCCAGCCACATTCAGAGAATCCGGCCACATTCCGAGAATCTGGTTGGATCACGAGCTCGTTCAGTCCCAGTTCAACTGGCCTTCGTCAACTCTCATTAGATCAGTCCCCTTGTATCAGTGGGTGATCGCACCCCTCGCGGTCCTGATTTCAGGAAGACCCTGAATAGTAAGGGTCTTCCTTACTGTTACCAAGTTTTCAACGTTCTTCCACACCATGACCAAATTCAGTGGGAGAGAAGCTTGGTAGTGAGGCTGATATACTTTACTTCTTTGTTTGTTCTATTTCTTTTTTAAGTTATACTTTGTTTAAAATCTCTCTGCCTCCTCCCTTGGCTGTTTGGAGGGTGAAATAACTTTCAATCACAGTATTCTCATTAATTATGGGGTATTCCTATTGGTTTCTCTTTCCTCTCATGACAAGAGAGTAAATTCTTTCTCTACTCTGTTTATTGCCTACTCCTTCTGGGGGCTTCGTAGTTCTCTGTTATTTGAACTAAATACTTGGCAAAGCATACAGATGACATAGTGACCCCTGGGATTCTCCAAGATATATTTATCAAGATGAAAATATATTTATATGTGTCAATAGGACAGCCCATAAGAAGAGATCATTTGGCAAAACTAGGAAAGCAGAAAACAAGTGTGTCTTTTCCTTCTACTTCCTGAATAAGCTTGCATAGGTACAGGGTTTTACTCAAGAGCAAATTCAGAAAAGGAATGCACCTTGGCTCCTGCCTGCTGCTCTTTTCAAATTCTACTGTCATTTTTGTTTGTTCCTCCTTTCAAAGCTACATTGAACTCATCTGGGGACAGTTTCTCTTTAATTGTGTGTAATTTGATCTGTGCTTTTATGCTGATGTTCTGTGTTTAATGGTGCATTTATTCTGCAGGCATTATTGCATCTCTACTGGGTGCCAAGCAGTGTGCCCAGCTCTAGAATTAAGATAGTGAGTAATAAAGGGACAATGAGAGTTGTCTTCTATCCTGGTGGAAAGAAGAGAAGTCGGCTAGAGAGTCTTGCAGAGATGATAGCTGTGCTGTGCTATTGGATCGGGGGAATGCTTGTGTGCTGCACCAGCCCACCACTCCTCTTTTGGAAAACTTAGGGCTTCTACATGTTTGACTCTGTCTATATAGAGAGCCAAGCATCAGCTATCTCTGAGGACATCCTGAAATGAAGAGACTCATGTTGCCTATGATCAAATGCCATTGCTGGGTTGTACTTGTCCTAAATTAACAGACTAAAAGTGGGATCCATTGGAGTACTCCTTGGAGACTGCCTCAGGCCTCGTCTTCACAGTCTTACTTTTTGTCCCTCTCTTTCACTTACCTCACTGCCAAACCCCTACTGTGCTAGCTTCCTTATCATCCTCTCAACAACATAATCCATCCAAATCAGGAGCAGCTCTGAGTTTCCTTTAGAGAAGTGAAACTCAGGAGATACAGTGGAGCAGGAGTCCTCCAATGGCCAAGCTATAGCTGAGAGCTCAGAATTACTGTGTTCCAGGTATTATGTTGCTTCTTCAAATCACTGAAGCCAAGAATGCTAAAAGGGAAGAAAGGTAGTTGGACTCTGTAACTCACAGTAATAGTTGTAGATTTTAGAACTGGAGAGTACTGGGCCTGAACACAGAGTACTTAGTCAAGCTCAGGACAGGGACAGAGACCGAGGAATACCCTTGAATCTAACTGAGTTAGTGGGCTATGTTTATTTATTCTTTTATTAGTTTATTTCCAGTTCTTGTCCCTCTGTTGTACAAAGGAGTATATTAGATCCCACTCTTCCCTAAAAGAGTGCTTCTATAACCTTTAGTACAGTCCTTCATGTTATAGTGACTCCCAATATAAAATTATTTTCTTTGCTACTTCACAACTGTAGTTTTGCTACTGTTATTAATCATAAACATCAGATATGCAGAATATCTGATATGTGACCCCTGTGAGAGGGTTGTATGACTCAGAGGGGCCTTGACCCACAGGTTGAGAACCACTGTCCTAAGCAACCCAAAACAAGGCACCTGCCTTCAGAGAGTTCACAGATAGGCCAGACTATACTACATCTCTGCCTATCAATTGCTAGGAGTATAAAATGTGAGATTTTCCCCACGACCCCATCCCATTTTCTTCTGAGGAAATAAAGA